TTGACCTTGCTGAAGATCTTTCATATTAATTTAATTACTTCTTACAAAATAGAATAAATGAACATAGGCCTTCACATGCAATTAGCAATATAGATATTCAGCTTATACTTAAGAGGGAAAAATTATACTATCAATATTAACACAATGGCAAAAATGCCATAATTTGTTCCAAAGCAATTAAAGGACAAATTCTAGATTGGAAAAGTACATACAAACAAACACCAACAATGAACAAAAAGATTGTGGGAACTTTAAATCTGAGAATATGAATATCTGATAACATAAAAGATAAGAGAACTCCAAATCAATTAGCTAATGAAAACAAGAATCAATGCCAAAGTCAACCAAATCTGTCAATATGAAGACTTGAGAAATGTTCATGAACATTTAAATCTATTCTAATGTAGTCCTTATTGTATAGTCATAAAATCACTAACATCTTATGGTTTCTAACATTGAAAAAAGTATTAGAAGACTTCCAAATAAAATGAAAGCATGACATGAAGAAGAGCTTTAAGTATGACACAAATAGAAAAGTTGTGAGATAAATGTTACTACTTAACAATATTTAATACTTTTCTACATATTAATATACATCAAAATCAAAGTTAAAAGATGATGGACAAACTTGGGAAAATATCTGCAACCTAAGTCACAAAAAAATATGTATTGACATATGCAAAAATAAATGACAAGAACACAATAGAAAAAGTGGTAAACAGGGGCTAGAATGTGGCATGGTGGTCTGGGCACTAGACTCCCACTGGCCAAAACATAGTTTGAGTCTTGACCTGGTAGCTTGCTTTCTCACTTTCCCTGTCTCTCTGTGTCTCTGACCAAATTAAAACTATATATATATGTATATATATATATAATATATATATAATATATATTATACACACATACACACACATACACACACAAATAAAATTAATTCTTTAAATAAAACATGTATATAGGGAGACAGTCATTTTCATGTATTGTAATATGATGGAATCTCTGGGGAAGGCAATTTGAAGAAAACACACACAGTTTTGATCCAACTTTTCTTTCAGGAATTTACAATATATAGGTAAAATGACCCATGAAAAATGTAATTGAGGTATTGCTTATAACAGAAAAATAATGAAAATCTAAATGTCTTACCATTAGGGACTGGCTAAATATAACCATACAATGAAAAGGTATGTGATTCTATAATAAAAAAAAAAAAAAATTGAAGTTCTCTAAGGTATATGAAAAAAATCAAAGCTTAGTGAATATAGTATTCTATTAGCTGCATAAAAAAGAGAATATATAATATATATGTGTGTATGTATATACATACACATATAGTGAGAGAGAGAGAAATAGAGAGAAATTGTCTCTAAGGAGAAGAACGGACTGCCAGGGAGAGAGAGGTGGGAGAGCTTTTCCCCTCTATATCCTTTTGTGAGAATTGAATTTTAGGCTGAATTAATGAATTATGAGTTAAAAAAAAAGGCAAAAATATCTTTCCATCTGTAATATTGTCCCTACTCATCAGTTAACCTTTTCTATCACAAATGGGGGTATGGAATCTCCTCATCAGTATGCTTCTCTGTAAACACACCAGGGTCATACCTACTTACAAAGTTAGTTTAATGAACCACCATATTAACTTGGTTTGAAGAAAAAGTCCATTGAGTCTCCAAAATGAAAAAAAAAAAAAAGAAACAAAACAAAAAAATCTGTGAGCTGCGAGCCTCAGCAACAACACATTTAGAGTTTAGAAATGAAAGGAAGCAGAGATATGGGATTAAAGTTAATGATAGTTTAGGATCCTCCAGGGTTGTAGGTTTTTTTTTTTTTTTTTTTTTTTTTTTTTTTTTTTTTTTGTAAGAACATTCCTGGGTTCTTGAAATCAGAAAAAATATTCAGAAAATGACAAAAACAAAAAAGTCTTATGATGAACAAATTAGTCCCAAAGAGATTAAATGTGAGACTCCAACTAAGTACCCCTAAAACTAAACATGACACGTTTTTGAGGTTCAGTGGCATCCTTATCTAAAAAGAATTGAAGAAATGTGAAAATGGGTTGGGGGGAGCATAAGAAGGAATTAGAAATCTTTTCATTTTTTTTTCCCCTCAAGAGCCTATCCTTGTCTTATAAAATACATTAACCAATTTTCCACACCAAGTAGTGCTATTAAAATTCTTTTCCAGGACCAGCAGTCAGCGTAACAACTGTGCCGCTGGATTCCCATGTAGTTGACTGCAGTTCAAGTCCTGGACCTGGTGGCTTGGACTCAAGCTGGGCGCGTGTGTGTGCATGCCCAAGATCCCGAGAGAAGAATGGAGGAGAAGGGATTACAGCATGGCCATCCCCCCTGGAAGGTGACTTCTTGCTTTCTGTCTCTCAGTCTCTGTCTTTTTGGTGAGCACATGCATCCTATAGCAAAAATCTCTCTCTCAAAAAAAAAAATTCTTTTCCATGAACTGAATCTAGGGATTCATTAACCTGAAAAGTACTTCTGGTTGAAAAATACACCAACTGTGTAACCCAAAGGATTATTAAGGAAAGTTCTTTGAAGAAATATGGTTGAAAGGAGTCTGTAAGTTGAACTAACGATGACAGTGGCTCCCTCTTTTTCTATGTGGAGCACCCATCATTAATCAATTTGTCCTCACAATGATTAAAGCCTGTGGCAAACTTCCCCACCCCCCAAATAGAAAATTGATTGTAAACCAGAACACGGTAGGGGTAACAGAGACCTTGACTGCTTTCTTGGAAACACTACCAAATTATAGATCCAGAGAAATGCCCAAAGTGACAGAGATGCTTAACAGTACAGGTAGATCTGCCTGGTCTTTTCTTTATTTGGGCCTTTAAATATTTTAAGGACACTGTTAACCATTGATCTTGAATGGGTCTCAAAGCCATACAGGAAAGTAGGGGAATTATTTAGAGAAGAATTTTTTTATTCCATGAGTTCCACTCCTTTTAGTACAATGTATTGGTTATGTGTGTTGTGAGTATATTTGGGAAGTTATGACCTGAAGAGAGATCCGTGAAATCATGGTCATTGTCCAGATGCGGAGCCACTCCCTAGGCCGAAATGTTTCCAATGGCTTCCAAATCGTGTGATAGGAATCAAGGACTCAGAAAGTCCAGAATCAGATCCCGTGTGTTTTGTCAACTCAATTTGTGCCCTGTGGGTCCATCTCAGGGCTGGATTTTCTTATCTATGAAATTAGACCAGTGACCTTGACTCCGATTTACTTGGGTGTTTTTAGGCACGCATAAAGGAAACAACACTGAAATATAACTTAATCGTAAATATTGCTTTGTGATAGTCGTGTCTATAGAATAGTTATCATAAGCAATAATGGAATAGTTAATAAACATAACTATTTCACATTCTTTTTCTATGTGGTGGATTCGAGTTCTCAATGTTCTAACATCTGAAACTGAAGAAAAAGGAGGGCAGTTCTGGGTAGCGGTATAAATTCTTACCATTCGCCTAAGGAGTAAATACATTCTTTCCTACAGGAGTGAATTCAGTGAAGATTTCACCAGAATAAAATCAGGTAACATTAGGTGTATTTAATTGTTAAACGGTATTTCCCTAACCCAAGGCACCTGAAAGTCTAATCAGGAGACTTTGGAAATGGAAGGAAGGGAGAGGATTAAGAATGACAACTACTTCCCTGGAGAGTGAATTTTCTCTAAAGAATTGAGGTCTCGATTTCTTGAGCACTGAAATAAAGGGGGGGTCAAGAATTTTGTGTAGAAACAGGAGTCAAGAAATAACTCGACTCCGAGGACGGATAAGCCGAAGCTGCTGGACATAACAATCTCATTCCCTAAACTGAGCGCACGTTTGAACTCGCGTCGCACTACCGTCTTCCTATCAGATAAAGCCAAGGTGTATATTAAAAAGTGACTTAAGGGTGGCATCTTGAGGCTCAGTTTTACACTCCGCGTCAGTAGCAACTGGTCAGGAGCTGGTGAAGAAAGGTCTAGGAGGAGGCATCTGTCGGTTGGTCAGATCCCCTTGCAGGAAGATTGGCAGCGATCCCAAAGCGCCTTAGAGGATGCCTGGAGGGTCAGCAGCCCAGCTCCAGAGCGCAGCAAGATCTCGGGGCACCCCGACCCTCGCAACTCTTCAGTTTAGCCACACCCTCCAGGAAAGCTTGGAGGGAAGCTGTTCTGGGGTTAGGCTCGCTGTGGTCTGTAGCGCTCTTTAGGACCTCAGGGAAACCGGAGCATTTCTGGCTTTAGGACCCAGGAACTCCGAGGCAGCCTAGATTTGATGCCTAGGACCACAGCACCACCTACTTATAGAAGCATCCCGAGCCTGAGCCAGGCTGCATCTCCGTTGGAAAGTGCGCTCGCCCACATCCTTTCGGCCTCCCCAGGAAGGCTCTGTCTCCCACAGATTGGAAGGGGAGAAACCTTAGCTGTGAAGTGACGGTGGAGAGAATCCGGGAAGCGAGCGGACAATTGGATAGGGACGCAGAGGCGCGAGGGCGAGAGCGGGCGCTCCCCTCTCCCGGGGATCACACACTCCCGCGGGCACGCAGCATCCTGGTGGCTGCGGACGCGCCCGCCCCGCCGCGCTCCTGCCAGGCAACGCCCG